GGCCCAGCTCCGGCTTCCCACTGGGATGTGGGTGGAGAGAAAGCCCTGAGTCTTGCTGCACAATCTGGCATGTGGGGAGAAGCAGAGCCAGAAACCACTCCCCATGCTGCCACCTCCCTTCTCACTTTCCCAGCTAGGGGAACAGCAGGACACAGATGCATTGCCTAAAGGCTTTTCCCACTGCTCCCATTGGCTAGAATCCGGCCAATGAGAGCAGAGGGAGGCTGTACCTGGGACATGATGCTTGGGAGTAGTTCACGGTGTGAAGGCAAGTAAATACCCTCCATCCACTCGTGCCCAGACCCTGCACCCTCCTATTGAGACCCCGCACCTCCCAGCCTACTCCTGCACTTTCCTTTGCTCTTGCCCCCTCCCCCTGGTCAGACACCCTACTCCCAGTTTGCTCCTACACCCTACTTCCCACCCAGATCTTGCACCCTCACCCCCTGGGGCGTTTGGAGGGGTTGGGTTTGCTTCTCACTTGTGTGGTAACCAACTGATTTTTCTGTGGGTCAGTGGCCCCCAACTCACAGAAGGTTCCCTAGTCCTGCCATAAATAAAGAAAATATGGAACCCATTTGTGTTGGATATAAATTAATATTTCACTTTATTTAAAATGAAGTTTGATAAACTAACATGAGTAAGTTAAAGTGCTTAATCTGTTTAATAATTTAAATTAATATTTCCTTTATTACTGGTTAAATTAAACCATTCTGCCTAGCTGCAGCACTAGCAAAATGACTCGGTGTAGGTATGCAATTAATGGCAAGTTTCCATTAGCAACTGGTGGTCCATGGAAAGTTTTGAATTGATCCAGGTGAACCACGGGCCAAAAAGTTTGAGAACCACTGATTTAAGGTTAGTTGGCTTTAAATCTCTCTTGAAAACTCACCACTTCTATAATGCCTGCTACAGACATGCCAATTCACCTTTTGTTTATTTATCCTATCCATTTATCCCCTCTCAGGGAAAAAAACTCCTTCTCCCTATGCTCTTGCCTCACCAAATAGTTACTGTCATGCTTATGTCATGTCAACCTTCACCTTGTTTTGCTATCCACATCCCCTCTCCTAAATGAATTATATCTTAAGTGAGGCAGCAGGCTCTTTGGGCTAAAGGGCTTGATTTTAATTGTTCACTTTCACATTGGGATGCCATTAAAATTAAATTAGCAAGGCCTCACATAAAACCTCTCATGGTACAATTGCTAGGTAGGGGCACCGAGGAAAGAAATATCCATGAAGATCCCCTCAGAGAGTTTCTCTTTTATCATTCCATCCTGGGGGAGTGGGGGACTTGTCCCCAGAGCAGAGCATAACACAGTGCCTAGCTCCAGATCTAGTACCTTCTGGGGGATTTGTAGGGAGTCTGTGACTCTACAACAGCTCTAGACACAGGAGTTCTTATGGCTCCTGAGTATTACTTCTATATTGAAACAGCACTACCAAGGGAGCCTCTCCCTGCCCTTCCCTCCTCCACCCCCAAAAAATCTAAAAACACTTGAGCTGAATTCTGCCCCCAGTATCTGCATGAAGGCTGAAATATATTTTCTAATGAGTAGGAGGAGGCTGGGCTGTGCTGTTTGTCTTTATCTGGTTCAGTGCTCACACCTTTCTCTACAGACTGTGGATATATATGACAATCTCTGCAAGGGCCCAAGGTAGGGGGAAATGGTGCTTCAGTGATCAGTGACCTTCCTACACACTTTTATGTAAGATAGGGGAGATCGTGAGTGTTAGGACATTTTTATGTGCAAAAGAGGCAGAATGTGACCTGGCCAAGGCATATTATGCCATTATCTGTTTAATTTTCTGTAGCGAAGTGATGGTTACAAGCAAACAACTAGCTAATGCTGCTGATGTATGTGGAAGTACTGTACACAGGTACAAATGTGAAAAAATGTTTTTAATATTAGAAAATTATAGTTCTTATTTCCCTTAGCTTTTCCTATGGCTTTGCCATTGTTAGCAAGGGAGAAACTGATCAGTGGATAAAAAGCAAGGAGTATTAGGGTATGTCTACATTGCTTTCCTCTTTCCAGAGAGGAATACAAATGCAGACAAGTGAAGTTGCAAATGAAGTGCAGATTTGAATTTCCCAAATTTCATTTGCATAATTGCGGATTCCCGCTTTTCCAAAATAGCATCTTTCGAGAAAACAAACCTGGTCCCCACAAGAAAAAACCCTTCCTTCGAAAAAACCCAGCAGGGACCGCGTTTGTTTTCTCAAAAGATGCTATTTTGGAAAAGCAGTGGTCCACGATTATGCAAATGAAGCATGGGAAATTCAAATTCTCACTTCATTTGCAGTTTCACTTGTCTGCATTTGCATTCCTCTCTCAGAAGAGGAATGCAATGTAGACAGACAACTAGTTTGTAAACTGCACATTAAAACTTCTTCAGTATTTAATAGCATATCATAATACATAATCCTCAGTTGTCTCTTCCTTAACTAAAAAGGGAAATGGAAGTTCACTCTTGTAATATATTAAGCTAAGATAGGTAAACAAGATATTTCCCCCCTAATTTATACCATAAGCTGTGCTTTACCTACCATTTTCCCCCACTAGTCTATGAATCCTCTTCTGGTTAGTCCACAGGTAAATTCTGATTAAATATACAAATTCAAACCATAATAATCAGATGCTAAAACTCTCTTTTTCTCATGCATCTACACTGAACACAATCAATAGTTCATTAGCCCTTCACTAGCGAGCTGCTCATAATTATAATTTTCCCAGGGAAAAATGAAACAGGGAGGTCTTTAATGCTTCTTGTTAGCTTTCAATTAAAAAAATAAGACTATAACAGCCAAGGAGGCACTGGGTAAAGAGCCGTGGAAAACTACATCTGTGTTAAATCTGACACAGGGAACAGAAATGCATCTATCCTTAGTTTTGTTGTTGTCGAAGCTGTGAACCACAAACAATATAAATTCCATTTTTGCAATTACTGTCACCGGAGCACATGAGTAATTTTAAGCAGGTGAGTGATCTGAATGGAAGTAAGTTTATTTAAATGTGTGTTTGC